AAAGAAAATACCTCAGGAAGTTGGCGATGGGGAAATTCCAAAATTTGACGGAGCAGGTTATGACAAAGACTTGGTCGAAGCTCTCGAAAGGGACATTGTATCAAGGAATCCAAGCATTCATTGGTATGAGGATTTTCACAGTTCAAATGTGTTTGCTAGGGTGGAGAAGGAGAGAAATTATCTGTCTTCTAACTCTTAAAACAGGGATCCATCATAATCTTCCACAGATAAGCAAAACAAGGTCTTTTTGTTTTAACAGTTTATTAATTTAATTACAGTTAAGCTTTTTTTGCTAACTGATATTATGTGCAGTACATCCGTTAGAAGTATTGCTGAAATGAAAGTACACTCCAGAGAACTTTAAAGATATCACTTTGGTATTCACATTGTCTAAAGCAATTTTTAATTAAGCAGCTCTGGGTAATTTGAGTTGAAAATCATTTTTTTCCCTACCTTCCAAAAGTGAATTCAGTTTAGGTCACAGGATTATAGGAGTGCTCTCATGAGGCATATACTGGCATGCTAAAAGAGATGGTACTAAGTGAAAAGCTTTTCTATTTTTCTTGTATAAAAATAGAAGAAATATTGTTGTATGGGGATCTTATACAAGTTTCTTCATCTTGCACAGGGATGACATAGCGGATTTGGAAGAAGCCAAGAAATTATTAAGAGAAGCTGTCGTTCTTCCAATGTGGATGCCTGATTTTTTCAAAGGGATCAGAAGACCTTGGAAGGTGGGAATTTATTTGGTGTTTTAGTAAGTGGCAAGCTGTAGTTATGTATGTCCGCTGCTGTGATGTGTATGGATGCCTGTAGCAGAAGGCTAAAATGGCAAATGGGAAAGATCAGGAATTTCTTCATAAAATTGTCTCATAGTAATTCATATAAAATGCACTGAAAGAAACAGCTGGAAGTGTATGCAGGCTGTACAGTAAATAATTCTGTTGATTTACTCAGTCATAGCCTGTTGACATTATAATACTTGCTGTATGTCAGCTTGTACATGTAAGTAAGCATATAGCGTATGTTGACTGAAGCAGAAATGCTGAACAGGCAGCTCTGCTGAGGATTGTGGTGGCCACTCTTCAACACTTCACGGAGGAAAGCAGTCCTTGGAGTGTTTTATTCTGCACGTGCCAACTATCTCTCACTCAGACTGCAAACTGCAGGCTGGATGGTGCAAAGAAGCAAGGAGAGAGGGGGCTAACCTGAGTGAAGATTTAGCTTTGCAGTTACGCTTGCAGCTGGGCATAGTTACTGCTGGAGTGGGAGAAATTCAAAGTGGTAGAATGAGCTCTAGGTGGGACAACAGGAAGGACAGGACTGAGCTGGCCTGGCTGATGGACGAGGTGAGCTCAGTCACAGAAATCATAGAATGGTTTGGGTTGGAAGGACCTTAAAGATCATTTAGTTCCAATTTCCCCTGCCATGGGCAGAGACACCTTCCACTAGACCAGGTTGCTGAATGCCCTGTCCAACCTGGTCTTGGATGATTATTTTAGATAAATGCTCAGAAATGTTTTGGTGCTTATTTTAGATTTTTTTTCCATTCTTTCTCTAGTGCTGATTCCACATTACAGTATGTAATGTGTGCTACTGAGGAAGTGCAAAGCACCAATGTGAGGAGGTGTCCCACATGTTGGACTAGCGAGTACAGCTGCAGGTAAGAGAAAGTTTTTCTGCTGGTGCAAACTGAATGCAAAAGAGCATAACCAACTCTGTGGCAGAACAGTCTGTATTTAGAGTCAGATGACATGGATACTCTTTCAGATGTGACAGCCTACACCTTTAGAGGCATGTAAGAAGGTGGAGGGACAATCTTGGATTATTCAGTCTAATATTTTTGCTTAAAATTGAGCTTAGCACATTGTTTTCCAGCTTATTTTACCACTTCTTTTTTTTTTTTTT